TGCTAAAATGACTTCTCTCCTCAGGAGGTAGCTCAGCGCTCTCTCGTTGCGTTGGCTAGTCTCCTCCGCAGCATTGATACGGTGCTCGGATTCTTCACTGCGTCGTTCCAATTTGTCCATACGATCCTTGACATCTTTTATTTTTTCTTCAACCCTTGTCAGTGAGGCCTTGGTCTCTGAGAACGCAGCTTGGTTTTCTTGTCTCAGTTCTCTAAGCTCACGAAATATATCTGCCATACTCATCTCGTTGGCTTTAGCAGTGCTCGTGTAGCTCAAGCTAGCTTCAGTGTTAGCTTGTTGACTTTCTTTCCGTTCCTTTGCCTCTCGTAGCGAGAATAGCTTTCCAGTGTTGTTCCTTGTTGTTGTCATTTCGTTTCCTCACTATCTATTGGGGTTTGTTTATGTTTAGTCTGAAAAATAGCCTATTTTATGCCAAGTTCACGGGAGCTCACGTTCACTGCGACTACTTCACATCATGGCGCCACCGGAAGTCGGAATGATTGTATTTTTGAGCCACAGAAACACTTGTGATGAATAAATGCTATTAAAAATGTTTAATGTCATACCTTGAAACATTCCAGGCAACGCAATAACATCTCTATGGATACAAGCAGGTAGCAGACTCTCCACCAGAGAAGTTAATAATACTAATGGGTCTGGTCAAGTGGTAACAGAGGGAAATAGGGGCAGATTTTTGACATTCAAATGTCTCTTATTCAGAAACTAGAGGAACTATTGAAATAAGTAAAGTATTAGAATGTAGGAAAGAGTTACACTCCAACAGGGTCAAGTTAAACCTGTGATATTCTTTCAAGTTGTTGACAAAAAATGTAAAAACTCATGTTGGTAACGGAGGGAATGAAATATGCAGCACTTTTTGGTCAATAAATCCAAACAGTGATAACTCTTGGTTCTCACTTCCATATCCTTAACAAACTGGTTTGAATATTTGCTTCATATAGTTTTCTACCATATGGTACAAGATTAGGTTGAAAAACCTCTTACTTTTTGAGTCATGAGATTTTTTATTAAGAAAGGTCATGGTAACAGAGGGAAAAGTAACGGAGGGAAAATTGTTCAAACAAGTAGAAGGTGCAGGATTTTACATCATTTGTCGCTTTTTTCTTCTGAAAACTTTAATATTACTTCAAAATGAAAGGAAACTATTTCTATAAAATATGTCAGTCCTTCCAAGCAAATTTTTATCATTTTAAATACATTTTTTTTGAAAAATCCTGTCCCTTCATCAACAGTTCAAAGATGGAATAACAAGATATGATGAAATACAAACATTTATTGACATGATTTGCAGGTCTTTGAAATTTGGGAAATAATTTTTGTTCCATGTTTCATACATGGTCTGTTTAAAACATATGGAACTTTAGAACCAACAATGGTACAGAAAAAAGGTCAACAGTTTCATAAACTAGAGTACATATGTATCTGTTCAATACATTTTTATATCAGATGCATTAACTTGAATTTTTGGCCTTGATGTTTACTTCTGCTTGACCGGGCCCTAATACATGTTAATAATGCCCAAATAGAATTACTATAGACTGTATGATGTAATGAAACTACAAGTAAATGTACTTTTTTCTTTACTTTTAATGCTAATTTCTACTCACTTGTGTATTTATCTTTAAAAGTGCACTGTGTAACTTTTGGTTGGGGGTCCATCACCTGCTTGTTTCTATGGAGATGTCACTGCCCTGCCTAGAATGTTCCACGGTATGACTTTAAACAGATCTATGTTACATTATATTCAATTACAGGTGGTTTTATAGCTCAAAAATACCTAGAAAAACAGACATTCTGACTGTGAGTGGGGTCGCCTGTCCACAGATCTGACCTGTAACTTGGTCTGGTTTGGTTTCCATGAAGACAGAATGTTAAATCCTACAAACCGTTTTATTATATGACAGAGGAAGCAAACTCAAGATCAATCTTCATTTCAATTTTTATTAAAACAATAAAGACAATCCATAAAATGTCACCACAAAATTTCCCCAAAATACTCTATAAAACTCTATATTCTCTGTTCATTTTTTTTGTTTTTTAAAGAAGACACATCATTGTTTTGTGGCGATATAAATGTGAGCAAACAGCACCTTTGGCGGTCGAGGAGAGCGCAGAGTGAGCGGCTCCCGTCCCTCTCCCCAGTCTCCACCAAAGTTCTCTTTTATTTACACAGTGGCACACAATCTCCGTCACGCTTCAGAACACAAACGGAGCACAAACGTTTGGGGTAAATTGGTGATACATTTTTACACATTCATTCATGAACAACAACATTCCCACTCATTTGTACAGGCTGAACACTACAAGCTTATGTTCTGTAACAGCGCCATGAACAAAGATAACAAAGATACTTTTTTCCCCAAATCATTCAACACTTTTCTAATAATTATAATGCCATAATGGATGAATATATTTCAAAGGTCCTATAATATGTAAAATAGCCTCCTGTGAGCTTTAAGTCATGTTTTAATGTTGTTCCCTCCTCAAAAACACACCTGGAGTTATGTTTTGTCTCCTGCATTATTACATTATCTACATCTGCAAAGCTCAACACGCTAAAACTGATTTTATTTTCCTAATATTTTTCCTCACAGCAGCCGTGAAAAGAATAAACATCTGTTGTGGGTCACTAACAAGAGTCAAAACAGAATAAAAAGACAAAATGCTATTTTTCGGACTATAAGTAACACTTTTTTTTTTCATGGTTTGGGTTTTTCCTGCGACTTATACCCTTGTGCGAGTTATATATTAAAATATTCACACTGAAGCCTCAACAGGCTCTGTCTTGTGTGTGAGTATCTGCTGCTCCTGTTCCTCCTGTAGGACTGTCACTTCACTCTACTGCACGTCTCCTGCATATCTTCTGCTGCAAGTAGTGAAATATGCAGCCGAAAACTAATCAAGCAGCAGAATGAAAGTTTGGAGTGACTAAAATTTGAGGACTGGCAGAAAGTGGGGATGAAGAACACAGCTTCATGGTAACCGGGCGGGTGCGCCATGAAACTTTCCTGAAGTGACTGGATGGACGGACAAAGTCTGGACTTCAGTGACACTGAAACCATCCTGTCGGGATTCAGAAAGACCCGAATAATTACCTCTGNGGTAACGGAGGGAAAAGTAACGGAGGGAAAATTGTTCAAACAAGTAGAAGGTGCAGGATTTTACATCATTTGTCGCTTTTTTTCTTCTGAAAACTTTAATATTACTTCAAAATGAAAGGAAACTATTTCTATAAAATATGTCAGTCCTTCCAAGCAAATTTTTATCATTTTAAATACATTTTTTTTGAAAAATCCTGTCCCTTCATCAACAGTTCAAAGATGGAATAACAAGATATGATGAAATACAAACATTTATTGACATGATTTGCAGGTCTTTGAAATTTGGGAAATAATTTTTTGTTCCATGTTTCATACATGGTCTGTTTAAAACATATGGAACTTTAGAACCAACAATGGTACAGAAAAAAGGTCAACAGTTTCATAAACTAGAGTACATATGTATCTGTTCAATACATTTTTATATCAGATGCATTAACTTGAATTTTTGGCCTTGATGTTTACTTCTGCTTGACCGGGCCCTAATACATGTTAATAATGCCCAAATAGAATTACTATAGACTGTATGATGTAATGAAACTACAAGTAAATGTACTTTTTTCTTTACTTTTAATGCTAATTTCTACTCACTTGTGTATTTATCTTTAAAAGTGCACTGTGTAACTTTTGGTTGGGGGTCCATCACCTGCTTGTTTCTATGGAGATGTCACTGCCCTGCCTAGAATGTTCCACGGTATGACTTTAAACAGATCTATGTTACATTATATTCAATTACAGGTGGTTTTATAGCTCAAAAATACCTAGAAAAACAGACATTCTGACTGTGAGTGGGGTCGCCTGTCCACAGATCTGACCTGTAACTTGGTCTGGTTTGGTTTCCATGAAGACAGAATGTTAAATCCTACAAACCGTTTTATTATATGACAGAGGAAGCAAACTCAAGATCAATCTTCATTTCAATTTTTATTAAAACAATAAAGACAATCCATAAAATGTCACCACAAAATTTCCCCAAAATACTCTATAAAACTCTATATTCTCTGTTCATTTTTTTTGTTTTTTTAAAGAAGACACATCATTGTTTTGTGGCGATATAAATGTGAGCAAACAGCACCTTTGGCGGTCGAGGAGAGCGCAGAGTGAGCGGCTCCCGTCCCTCTCCCCAGTCTCCACCAAAGTTCTCTTTTATTTACACAGTGGCACACAATCTCCGTCACGCTTCAGAACACAAACGGAGCACAAACTTTTGGGGTAAATTGGTGATACATTTTTACACATTCATTCATGAACAACAACATTCCCACTCATTTGTACAGGCTGAACACTACAAGCTTATGTTCTGTAACAGCGCCATGAACAAAGATAACAAAGATACTTTTTTCCCCCAAATCATTCAACACTTTTCTAATAATTATAATGCCATAATGGATGAATATATTTCAAAGGTCCTATAATATGTAAAATAGCCTCCTGTGAGCTTTAAGTCATGTTTTAATGTTGTTCCCTCCTCAAAAACACACCTGGAGTTATGTTTTGTCTCCTGCATTATTACATTATCTACATCTGCAAAGCTCAACACGCTAAAACTGATTTTATTTTTCTAATATTTTTCCTCACAGCAGCCGTGAAAAGAATAAACATCTGTTGTGGGTCACTAACAAGAGTCAAAACAGAATAAAAAGACAAAATGCTATTTTAAGTACCATATTTTTTGGACTTAAGTCACGTTTTTTTTCATGGTTTGGGTTTTTCCTGCTACTTTGTTTATATTCTTACTCTTATTTCTTATTTTTTAGCTGGTGTTCTTTAGTATTATCTGAATGTGCATTTACAAGAAAGGCAAATAATCGTGCTGTCACACCAAATAATCGTGCTGTCATATTTTTATTGATATTAATTAGCACATAAAGCACAGGTGGTTTATGTAAAACAGGAGAACCACCTCCTCCTCTTCAGTCGGCTGATGGTCTCTTTCGCCTCCTCCTCCTTGGTTTCCATGATGTCCAGGAGCACCTGGTTCTGTCTCTTCAGAGCCGAGTTCATCTCCTCTGAGGAGGTCAGAGCTGCTGAAAGCTCCTGGATTTTCTCTTGCAGGGTGTTTCTCTTTTGCTCCTCACTGCCCTGTAGAGCACTCAGCTCAGATCTGTGCTGAACCCTCAGTTTCTCCATCTCCTGGTGTGTGTCCCGCACTTGCTGTATCAGCTGGTCTTTTTGTCTCAGAACAGAGGCATAAGCAGCATGGCACTGCTCGATCACTGCCTTAAACGTGACTCTCTCTGTTTGGAGACTCTGGTTTAGGGCGTGTGCCTTTGCCTTCTGCTCTGTGATGATTTGATCTTTGTCTCCGGAGCGCAATACCCCAATAGAGTGTCTTTCTTCAGTGAGAGTGGACCTCAGCGCGGCCACAGTAGACTCCAGGCCCCTCTTCTCATCCTGCAGGGTTTGAAGTTTGGCCTGGACCTGTTGGTGGTTTTTCTGCTCCTCTATAAGGGCAGATCTCAGGCCAGTCACTTCTGTGGTCAGCAGCTGATTGTTCCTCTCCACCGCCTCCAGTTGGTCCTGGAGCTCTCTGACAGAGCTCTGTTTCTCTGCCAGGGCAAATTTGAGAGTAGACCCGTCCATGGTCAGGACGTTGTTGACTGACTGCTGTAGCTCCAGTTGGCACAGAGCCTTTTTACTGGCTCTCTGCTCCTGTGTCAGGGCACGTCTTAATACAGACACTTCTGCCATCAGCTCTTCCTTCTCTTTCCAGAATGTTTCCAGAACGTCTGCTCTGCTCTCAGCTGTGGCAGGGGCCTGTTTCTTCTCGTTCAGGGAGGACTTCAGTTCAGCCACCAGATGCACCAGGTTCTGTTTCTCCACCTGCTCCTTCTCCAGTTCTTGAGTGAGGGCGGTGATCTGGGCTCTTAGATCTTTCTCCTGCTCGTCCTTCCTGGCAATATTATCTAGGAGATATTGAGCTTTCCCCTCAGCTTTACGGTTAACTTGTTCAAGTTGTCCTCTGAGGAAAGAGTTGGCATTGGCCTGTCTCTTGATCTCCTCCTGCAACTCCATTCTAGCTTCCTCCTTTTGTTTGCTGAAAGCACTGGCCTTCTCCTTTTTCAGTCGTTGTATTTGTTTCTGGAGATTTTCCGCATACACACGACTGCGTTCGTGGAGAGCTTTCTCTTTCTCTCTTTCCTCCTGCTCCAGCCTTAGCTGTGCTTTCAGCATTTGGATCTGCTGTAACAGATCTACCTGGGAGGCTTGGTTCTCCTCCTGTTTCTGGGCCTCAGGGGCCTCAGGTAGAACCAGAAGGTTGTCCTGGTGATAAGTCTGGCCTGCCTCTTGGAGCTGGGCTCTCCCTTGCCTTCTTCGCTCTCTGCGATTCAGCAAAGGGGCCTCAGGGTTTTGCTCCTTCCTCTTAAACTCGGGTTTGCTGGCCATCTGATCACTGTAGAACACTGTGCTAATTGTCAATAAAAGGCTCTATATGAAGTAGCTGGCTGTCTTGTTGACTGTCTTGTTGACTGTCTTGTTGACTGTCTTGTTGACTGTCTTGTTGACTGTCTTGTTGACTGTCTTGTTGGCTGTCTTGTTGACTGTCTTGTTGACTGTCTTGTTGACTGTCTTGTTGACTGTCTTGTTGACTGTCTTGTTGACTGTCTTGTTGACTGTCTTGTTGACTGTCTTGCTGTCTTAGAAGCTGTCTAACATTTGGATAAGAGTGATTTCTGGTCACACTTATACATCGAGCAGTAGAAGCGTACTTTATGACATCACAACAACTTCTCACAGTAACATTCTGTTGCTATGGTTACATACATTCCATTTAATTACGTAATCATGAATTCAAATGAAAATATCACAAATTGAGGCTTTTCTCAGCAATTGTTAGGTGAGATTAAAGAAGAGATTTATTAGATGAATTAATTATGGATCATAATTAATTAATCTCACTTTTTTTTTTTCATCTCTTGACAGCATTAGTAAATACTGACTGTACGATCCAAGAACACTTTCAGGATCTGCAGTTGTGTTGTGAAACTAAACTTTGAATTAAATACTGTATTCTATGGTATTGTTTTGATTTATTTTAGATTGAAATGTGGATAAATAAGCATAAAGTGTTTACTGGTATAGGATTAAAGGTGCACTGTGTGTGTGGAGGGTGGATTCAAGCAGGTTACAGCACTATGCTCATTACAGGTCAGATCTGTGGAGAGGCGCCCCTGTTCACTGAAGGAATGATTGTATTTTTGAGCCACAGAAACACTTGTGATGAATAAATGCTATTTAAAAATGTTTAATGTCATACCTTGAAACATTCCAGGCAACGCAATAACATCTCTATGGATACAAGCAGGTAGCAGACTCTCCACCAGAGAAGTTAATAATACTAATGGGTCTGGTCAAGTGGTAACAGAGGGAAATAGGGGCAGATTTTTGACATTCAAATGTCTCTTATTCAGAAACTAGAGGAACTATTGAAATAAGTAAAGTATCAGAATGTAGGAAAGAGTTACACTCCAACAGGGTCAAGTTAAACCTGTGATATTCTTTCAAGTTGTTGACAAAAAATGTAAAAACTCATGTCGGTAACGGAGGGAATGAAATATGCAGCACTTTTTGGGCAATAAATCCAAACAGTGATAACTCTTGGTTCTCACTTCCATATCCTTAACAAACTGGTTTGAATATTTGCTTCATATAGTTTTCTACCATATGGTACAAGATTAGGTTGAAAAACCTCTTACTTTTTGAGTCATGAGATTTTTTATTAAGAAAGGTCATGGTAACGGAGGGAAAAGTAACGGAGGGAAAATTGTTCAAACAAGTAGAAGGTGCAGGATTTTACATCATTTGTCGCTTTTTTTCTTCTGAAAACTTTAATATTACTTCAAAATGAAAGGAAACTATTTCTATAAAATATGTCAGTCCTTCCAAGCAAATTTTTATCATTTTAAATACATTTTTTTTTGAAAAATCCTGTCCCTTCATCAACAGTTCAAAGATGGAATAACAAGATATGATGAAATACAAACATTTATTGACATGATTTGCAGGTCTTTGAAATTTGGGAAATATTTTTTGTTCCATGTTTCATACATGGTCTGTTTAAAACATATGGAACTTTAGAACCAACAATGGTACAGAAAAAAGGTCAACAGTTTCATAAACTAGAGTACATATGTATCTGTTCAATACATTTTTATATCAGATGCATTAACTTGAATTTTTGGCCTTGATGTTTACTTCTGCTTGACCGGGCCCTAATACATGTTAATAATGCCCAAATAGAATTACTATAGACTGTATGATGTAATGAAACTACAAGTAAATGTACTTTTTTCTTTACTTTTAATGCTAATTTCTACTCACTTGTGTATTTATCTTTAAAAGTGCACTGTGTAACTTTTGGTTGGGGGTCCATCACCTGCTTGTTTCTATGGAGATGTCACTGCCCTGCCTAGAATGTTCCACGGTATGACTTTAAACAGATCTATGTTACATTATATTCAATTACAGGTGGTTTTATAGCTCAAAAATACCTAGAAAAAACAGACATTCTGACTGTGAGTGGGGTCGCCTGTCCACAGATCTGACCTGTAACTTGGTCTGGTTTGGTTTCCATGAAGACAGAATGTTAAATCCTACAAACCGTTTTATTATATGACAGAGGAAGCAAACTCAAGATCAATCTTCATTTCAATTTTTATTAAAACAATAAAGACAATCCATAAAATGTCACCACAAAATTTCCCCAAAATACTCTATAAAACTCTATATTCTCTGTTCATTTTTTTTGTTTTTTAAAGAAGACACATCATTGTTTTGTGGCGATATAAATGTGAGCAAACAGCACCTTTGGCGGTCGAGGAGAGCGCAGAGTGAGCGGCTCCCGTCCCTCTCCCCAGTCTCCACCAAAGTTCTCTTTTATTTACACAGTGGCACACAATCTCCGTCACGCTTCAGAACACAAACGGAGCACAAACTTTTGGGGTAAATTGGTGATACATTTTTACACATTCATTCATGAACAACAACATTCCCACTCATTTGTACAGGCTGAACACTACAAGCTTATGTTCTGTAACAGCGCCATGAACAAAGATAACAAAGATACTTTTTTCCCCCAAATCATTCAACACTTTTCTAATAATTATAATGCCATAATGGATGAATATATTTCAAAGGTCCTATAATATGTAAAATAGCCTCCTGTGAGCTTTAAGTCATGTTTTAATGTTGTTCCCTCCTCAAAAACACACCTGGAGTTATGTTTTGTCTCCTGCATTATTACATTATCTACATCTGCAAAGCTCAACACGCTAAAACTGATTTTATTTTCTAATATTTTTCCTCACAGCAGCCGTGAAAAGAATAAACATCTGTTGTGGGTCACTAACAAGAGTCAAAACAGAATAAAAAGACAAAATGCTATTTTTACGGACTATAAGTAACACTTTTTTTTTTTCATGGTTTGGGTTTTTCCTGCGACTTATACCCTTGTGCGAGTTATATATTAAAATATTCACACTGAAGCCTCAACAGGCTCTGTCTTGTGTGTGAGTATCTGCTGCTCCTGTTCCTCCTGTAGGACTGTCACTTCACTCTACTGCACGTCTCCTGCATATCTTCTGCTGCAAGTAGTGAAATATGCAGCCGAAAACTAATCAAGCAGCAGAATGAAAGTTTGGAGTGACTAAAATTTGAGGACTGGCAGAAAGTGGGGATGAAGAACACAGCTTCATGGTAACCGGGCGGGTGCGCCATGAAACTTTCCTGAAGTGACTGGATGGACGGACAAAGTCTGGACTTCAGTGACACTGAAACCATCCTGTCGGGATTCAGAAAGACCCGAATAATTACCTCTGCCAAGGAGGTTATGTTTTTGCTGGCGTTTGTCTGTTTGTTTGTTTGTTTGTTTGTTTGTCTGTTAGCAACATAACTCAAAAAGTTATGGACCGATTTGGATGAAATTTTCAGGATTTGTTGGAAATGTGAAAAGGAAGAACTGATTTCATTTTGGGGGTGATCCGGAAGAAATCCTGGATTCTGGATCACTTTGAAATTTTAGTTAACATTGTGGTAAATGGGGCCAAAAATTTAGTTTCTCAATATCTCGGTTAATTATTGACCAAACCCCATGAAATTTGACTCAGGGATGGACAATGGGATCCTCTTTCATATTCCAAATTGAAAGATACGAGACAAATATTTATGGAAAACACAATTAATATGAGGGGGACTGTAGTCCTTGGCGGAGGTCTGCGCTCTCTGAGTGCTTTTCTAGTTCTAACTGGAACTGATGCTGAGTCTGACAACAGAGACACAGAAGAGGAAGCGGCGCGCTGTTTACCTCCAGAGGTCACCGAGTTGCTCAGAAGTAACACCGAGGATGAAGAATTGAATGAATTTTGTGATTTGGAGTGAGATGGAGAGTTTGATAAACTTGTTCTCTTGTTTATGTTATATTTATCTGAAGAACTGTTCATATGTGATGTTAACAGTCTGTTGTTCTCTCTTCTATTGTTTTTACTACAACTTGACTTTACACAGGAAATGTTGATTCCTGGTTTCTGATTTTATCAAATACATTTCCCCAAAAAAGTGTGAGTTATAGTCCGGTACGACTTAAATATGTTTATATTCTTCTTCATTCTGCATTTTTTTAGTTGGTGTGACATATACTTCAGAGTGACTCATAGTCCGAAAAATACAGTATGTCTCTGATTAGAGAACCGCAGTGAAGCAGAACTAAAAACTCAACGTTAAAAATAATACAGTAAAGAATAAGATGAACAAACTTCAGCTAAAACCTCTTTAAAATAAAAATAAATAAAAAATGGTTACGTATAATTTTAAGCTTTAAATTTTTGACACTACACAGAGCTCAACTCCACAGTCTGGAGTCTCTGAAGTCTGAGCTCCAGCTTTTTGGCCTCAGCAGCTCTTTCTCCTTTAGTGTGTTAAAGGCGGTGCACCTTCAGATGAGCACGTTTCAAAGTCCTCCCACACTGGTCAGAGCTGCAGCTTTTCTCTTCAGTCTGGAACATTTGGACATGATTCAGACAGTTCCTCACAGAAATGAAAGCTTTCCCTCTTTTTTTAGTCATCTGGTTCTTCTCCTGTGTGCGTTCGGTAGTGACTGGACAGCTCCTGGGATGTTTTAAAAGCCTTGTCACACTGGTCACACTCATATACTATGTCCAAGGAGTGAGTTTTCATGTGTTTATGGAGATTGGATGACTGAGAGAAAGCATTCCCACAGTGGTCACACTTGTATGGTTTCTCTCCTGTGTGGACTCTGATATGATTTACTAGGGAGCTTGATTTTGAAAATGGCTTCCCACAAACATCACATTCGTATGGTTTTTCCCCTGTGTGGGTTCTCATATGTGCTAATAGGGCTCCGGAATGAAAAAATGTCTTCTCACAAACATCACATTTGTATGATTTTACCCCCTTGTGGATTCTCAAATGTTGACTGAGGCCAGTGGAGTGTCTAAATTCCTTCCCACACTGGTCACATTTAAATGGTTTCTCTCCTGTGTGGATTCTCATATGACTATGGAGGTTACTACTCGTTGTACATTCCTTCCCACACTCTTCACATTTAAATGGTTTTTCTCCTGTGTGGATTCTCATATGACTACGAAGGTTATTAGACTCTCTAAATTTCTTTCCACACTGTTCACATTCAAATGGCTTCACTCCAGCGTGGACTTTCTTATGCTGATTGAACGCAGCATAGTCTCTAAATTTCTTCCCACACTGTTCACATTCTAATGGTTTCTCTCCAGTGTGGATTCTCGTATGTTGCTGGAGAGCACCAGAGTGTGTAAATCCCTTCCCACACTGGTCACACCTGTATGGTCTTTCCCCTGTGTGAATTCTGTAGTGTACAGTAAATCCATTAATATTTTGAAACTCCTTTCCACACTGGTCACATTTAAATGCTTTCTTTCCTGTGTGGATTCTCATATGTCGACTGAGTGCACCAGAATTTCTAAATCCCTTTCCACACTGGTCACACTCGTATGGCCTCTCTCCAGTGTGGATTCTCATATGTGATGTGAGAGAGCCTGGCCATGGAAATGTCTTCCCACAAACATCACAGCTGTATGGTCTTTCCCCTGTGTGAATTCTGTAGTGGCTTTTCAGCTGGGAAGCTTTTAGCCACTCCTTTCCACACTGGTCACATGTGAAGGTCATTCTGTTGGTGGATCTTGTAGCTCTGCATTAGAACAAAGGAAAGGACATGTCAAGTAAAATCACTTTTTTAACAGGTTAAATAAAGTAAACTCTTAAAGAAATGAACTAAATACACATAAAGTCATACTCAGTAAATCATATGTCAGAATGTTTCAGTGTGTGTTTTACAAGCAAGTTCCATTTGGCTGAATGAATCAACTAAGTTTGTATTTTCTTTTAAAGGCACTTTTTCTGTCTGCAGCAAAAGATGAAATTAAGGAAACATACACAGACAAACTGAACAACTTTGTTGCCCTGAATTATAATCCACATGTTCAGCAGATATGATTTATGTAACACACGTGATGACAGAAGCCAGGGCTTTGGTGTGCAGTGCAAAAGTAAATACTGGAAGTAAATACAACACTTGTATTAAACACTGTGGCCTGAAATGATCCAAAGTGATTTCTGAGTTTCTCTTTTTTGATGTATTACAGAATTCTCTCTGGTGGGCCAAGTTTCAAAACTGTTGAGGCAGACCATCTGTAAGTGTACTGTGTTAGTCCACCTTTATTCACTTTCATAACTAAACATGTTTACATTATAATCACACCTGTTGTTGTTCATATTGTTTCTTTCAGAACATGCTGTGGTGGAGTTTACAGACTGACCCTCTGTAAGAGCACACATCTCTCCAATCAAGTGTTCACCTTTCATGTTCAAATCACACAGCCACTGTCATCACTTACACTGTTCTGCACAAACCCTAACCTCCAAATCACACCAAGAGCTGCAGCAGCACTTAACGTAGGCGGAGCGGCATGTGTGCATACAGTTAAAGGTTTCTAAAAGAGAAAGAGAGAAAGAGAGGGGGGGGGGGGGGGGGGGAGTATTTGGTTACACTGAAGTCTCATCTGTCCATGCTTTTACTCATATGGCTTATATTTGTTCTTTGCTTTTTTTTTTTTTTTTTTTTTTTTTTACTTTGCTTAACATGAACTATTTTTAGTACTTGGTAAAGACTTTAAATTGTCATTTTTATATTTAGAATGAAGTACTGGTTAACTAACTCAAACTAACATGTCCTAAGGTTTCTAATTAATGATTTAAATAAACTTTGTTTACATTGTAAAAAATAAAATAAAAATCTGCTCCTTTTTTTGTTAACTAATGAGATTTAGAACATCACTGATCCAACTTTGAACAGTTGAGGTTCATGTTTTTAAATTTAAGCCTCTACATCAGATCACTGACTCTGACCAGCCTGTTTAAGATGATTTGGAATTACAAAATAAACATATTTTATCATTTTACCCCATAAATAGACTAAACTTGCATTGCTTTTAGAGGTGTTTTTTTTTTATGATTTATTATTATTTTATTTTTTTTTGTAAGGCAACCTCACTTTTCCTTTGCTTAGTCATAAACTCATAAACTCTTACCAGTCTGACCAGCTCGTCTAAACAATATAAAAAGCAGTAAATAGCAAAGAAATACACTTAATATGCAAAACTGAATTAAGCATTTTGGCCTCCACAATATTTAGTTTCTCATGTGTAACAACAGCCCACCCCTGATCTACATCCTCGTTGTAACACTTACTGTAAAAGGTGTTTTGTACAGTTTCAGTGCAAATGCTGCTTGTGTATTTAGATCAGTAGGAAGCGGATCAGTATCAGATCTGAAGCATAGTTAGGCTGCTAACGACATAATAAACAGACACGCGGCAGATCCGGGGCAGATACGGTCTAAACGCGGATCCCCAGCGGCTGCCGGGCGGATCCGGCCTTATTTTTACGGATCAGCGGCGAATATTTGTTGCTATCTGTGTAAATGCCGTTTAGCAACATACATACGAGCGCTAATCACTGAAATAGTACACCGATTGCGGCTCAGCAACTCACCAACAACAAGTCGCCAACAACAAGTCCCCGCTGAGAAAGAGAGTTTGGAATCCGAAGAATCCACCGTCCGCACGTTCAGACCTGAAGCTGAGCTGAGCCACAGTGAGGAGGAGACAGTCCACCTCCGCTGTTTAAAGGAACAGCAGGAAGTAGAGCGTCCAAATAAGGGCTTTAGGGAGTGTGTCTTACATATTCATGTCCATGCTTGTGTGTCTCGAAGTGCAAAAAGTCAATCGACACCAACTCAAAAGTTGTGTTCATGTGAGTGAGACTCTGTTGACTTTATGGGGCGTTTTCTTTTGAAACATTCCCAGGCGCATTACAAAATGCTCTACATGTTTTTGTATTGTTGTTCAGTAAAATCTCACCTTGATTAACCTCAGTCCTTTCTGTCTCCAGGTGTCTCATTTCTCTCTGAAGACAGTGTCATGTTGTTCCTTTGGGGGGAGGAGCTGAGCTGTAGCATTGACTCGCCTGTAGAGGGCGCCATCTCCATTCATATAAAGTTTGTTCCACTGTCTGGGGGATTTTTACATCTGGTGCCTCTTTTTGAAAAAACTGGCCTTTGGGGAAGTACTCAGTGTTTTTGTAGAGCAGGACAGGGTCAACACAGAGTCTTTTTCTAGACTTCCTCTGATTTAACACTTTACACATTTGTTCATGAACAACAACATTCCCACTCATTTGTACAGGCTCAACACTACAAGCTTATGTTCTGTAACAGCGCCATGAACAAATAAACACTTTTTTTTTTTTTTTCAAATTATTCAACAGGTTTCTAATAATTATAATGGTAAATTGTCACATTTTTCTATAACGCTTTTCCACCTTCAAGGCACTTTACAAAAAAGGAACCACTCACCCATTCACACACCAGTGTACGCAGACACTGTGAGCAAGGGAGGTTAAGTGTCTTGCCCAAGGACACAGTGACAGCATTCATCTGTGGGAGCTGGAATCACATCAGCCAACCTGTGGGTCAGTGGATCTGAACACTCAACCTGTGATGTTCTTCTTTTTTTTTTTTTATGTTGAAAGCTGGAATTGAACTGTCAACCTTCAGATCAGTAGGCAAATGCTCTACGAACTGAGCTACTGCCACCCCAATGCTGTAACTGATCATAAGAACATCAATAAATAATGCCATAATGGATGAATGCATGCAAACAGTCCTATAAAAATAGCCTCCTGTGAGCTTTAAGTCATGTTTTAATGTTGTTCCCTCCTCAAAAACACACCTGGAGTTGTGTTTTGTCTCCTACATTATTACATTATCTACATCTGCAAAGCTCAACACACTAAAACTGATTTTATTTTCTAATTCTAATATTTGACTTCATGTTTTTCATCATAGCAGCCATGAAAAGAAGAAACATCGGCTGTGGGCTGCTAACAAGAGTCAAAACAGAATAAAAAAAAAACAAGACGCAATAATATCATTTTAAGCTTTTAATTTTATACACTACACACAGCTCAACTCCGCAGTCCGGGTCTCTGAAGCCTCATCTCCAGCTTTTTGAATCATATGACTTCAGGCTCACTTGATCCAGACTCAGCAGCTCTTTCTTCTTTAGTGTGTTCCAGAGGTGCACCTTCAGACAGTCCTGCACCGGGTCAGGTACTCGCAAATAGTCGCTGAAACGGGCAGGTTTTAATGTTCTGAAATTTTACAGGTGGGTAAGAAAGGTTTAGACAAATCATACACCATTTGAACATGTTTTATCTGAATCTGAAAAGATTTGTATATGACAGTGAAAACAGTTACAAGATCTTTGGTAAATATGTGCAACATGAAACATATAAAACTTTGTAACCTGCAAGGGCTGAATATGACACTGATCCCACACACAATGTCCTCACAAGTGTTGGACGAAGGTCATTTTTACCACAGAATCACAGAAAAACAAGTGAAATGATGATTGTTTCCTTAAACTTGATTGCTGTGTTGTGTGTGTGTGAGAGTGAGAAAGAAAATGATCACAGTGTGTGTGTGCGTGTGTGTCTGTGTGTGTTTGTGTGTGTGTGTGAGTGGGGGAAAGTGTGTTTGTGTGTGTGTTTGTGTGTGCGTGTGTGTCTGTGTGTTTGTGTGTGGGGGTGTGTGTGGGTGTTTGTGTGTGTGTGTTTGTGTGTGTGAGTGGGGGAAAGTGTGTGTGCGCAAGCGTGTGTATGTGTGTGTGTTTGTGTGTGGGGGTGCATGTGTGTGTGTGTTTGTGTGTGGGGGTGCATGTGTGTGTGTGTGTGTGTGTGTGTGTGTGTGTGTGTGTGTTTGTGTGTGTGTGCGTGTGTGCATGGGGCTGTGTGTGCATGCGTGTGTGTTTTTGTGTGGGCGTGCATGTGGGTGTGTGTGTGTGTTTGTGTGTGTGTGCGTGTGTGCATGGGGCTGTGTGTGCGTGCGCGTGTGTTTTTGTGTGGGGGTGCATGTGGGGGTGTGTGTGGGTGTTTGTGTTGTGTGTTTGTGTGTGTGAGTGGGGGAAAGTGTGTGTGCGCAAGCGTGTGTGTGTGTGTATGTGTGTGGGGGTGCATGTGTGTGTGTGTGTGTGTGTCTGTTGCATGGTAATGTAAATATTGCATTACAACCTTAAAAAACATCTTCCACTGATATCACATTGAACATTCAGGCTATAAAAATATTTTTACTCTGCAAAATCCTAATTATTACAAAGTTCTATATTGACTTGTAATATTCCAAAAAGTAGCTGTACACTTACGTTTTTTTCACATGCCTCAACTGACAAGACGTCATATCAGTTACAAATACCAAGGTACTTGTAATTGTCCTCAATATCTGCTGTTGTTCTGTTTGGAATAAGCAGTTAGTTTGCCCAACTGGTAAGTCACTGGACTTCCACATGGTCAACCTGGGTTCAAATCCCCCTTGAAAGTCAGTTTTTTTTTCTGCAACATATAATTAAAGAATACAAACATTACATGGAACATACAAAGAAAATGTAGTTTATCATGCACATTACCTGTAAATGTCATGCAAACTGTTCACTTTATCTTTACTAGTTTTTCATAATATAGTTGTATGAGAAAAATGTAAAAGGGGGAAACACTTTCAAGAGTAAACCACACATGACACATATAAAACTTATATAAAGATTTACTACAAAGACTGTGGTAAATTCTTATATTTTTTTCCCATATTTTTTCCATATGGATGTGGGTGGATAGTGATTACACACAGGCAGGTCAGGACTACACCAGGACTAAACGAGGACTACACCAGGACTAAACGAGGACTACACCAGGACTAAACGAGGACTACACCAGGACTAAACGAGGACTACACCAGGACTAAACGAGGACTACACCAGGACTAAACGAGGACTAAACCAGGACTAAACGAGGACTACACCAGGACTAAACCAGGACTACACCAGGACTAAACCAGGACTACACCAGGACTAAACCAGGACTAAACCAGGTCTAATCTTGGACTTGAGAGAGAGAACCCTGAGCCCGTGGAGCAGCTTGTCCGCAAAGTGCAATCAAGCAACAGCTGCACTTAGCTCTACAGTGCCGGTTCTTTCGCCTGCGGTCACCCCACAGTCTACGCGGGCACACCTCCGGACCTGTCCCGACAGTTAGTCCTGGTTAAGTTCTGGTTTAGTCCCGTTTTAGTCCTGGGATCAGTCCTGGTTTAGTCTGTGGTGTGTGCGGTGCCAAAGTCCAGCATCTTGATCAATGTTTGTTCTGCTCAATAAATATGCATATTCGTAATGAAGAAAGCGTAAACGTTTCATTTCATTTGGTGATGGAAATTCTTGGCGTCGTAACTTTTCAATTCGTATTCTGATGGATAAAATACACACAATATATTTTATGTACAACTGGACTCTTTTGAGAGTTTATGAATATTGTTAGTGTGTTCCATTGGAGGAAATAATGACTGAAATCGATTGATTAAAATCACATAGAAATTATTCCCTATTCAATACAATTCTAATACAAGGCTCAGGGTCAAAGTGTTGCCCCTGATGGCCTACAGCTACACAGGACTTAAATCAGGCGATCTGACTGTGTTTCCCTCAACCCAGAAATATAAAACATCAGTATGAATATGCAAATGATATGTTGAGCAGGTATACACTTTGGAACTGTGGGCTTCTACCCTGTGTTTTTAAAGTTTCATTCATATGTTAATACGCCCTGTAATTTGCCCTGTTATATGCTGTGTATGTTTTTGGACTTTGGAGTGTCAATGGTGAATGTATATGGGACAGATAAGGGGTGTATCTCCAAACCTTTAGCATCTGCCAGTCTGTTATGGGACACGTGTTGGGACAAAGTGCTGTGTATGTTTCCATGAAGATGTGAACTCAACAGTTCTGCTGGTATAAAAGGCATCCAGTTTTTCTGTGCATCAGTGGGGGAACGTCGACTGCGTTGTCGAGGGACGACCGACGCACAGAGAGACGCCGCGTAGGCAAAATCATGCTGAATCAACTTGAATCTTGAGACCTGAATCTGCCTGAATTAATAAAGAGACATGTCTGAGACCTTTTCTAACTCTTCAAGTCTCTTTCTTAAGATCCTCTGTTCAGGCTGCCTCCAGGAGAAGCTGACAATTTGGTGACCCGCGACGTGATCCTGATGTGGTTCCGAAGAGACTCCTGGAGGCCAAAAGGTCAAGACGTTCCCCTCCACGGAAATCCTAATACGCACGTGACAGAGAGCGCTCGGTTCAAGGAAAAGGTCAGAATTTCTGTCTCTTGAATTGATGTGATGTGCTTATTGGGACTTTTGTGGTGATTAATTTAAAAAATAATGGAAGACTAATTATCGCATGTTAAGCTTCATGGACCAAAAAAAGCAAAGCTGGAATCCGTGTTAAAAGGCTTCACGTAGAAAATAAGCCAGAAATATGTTAATTGAGATTGAAAACAAAACGAATAGTATTTTTTAGGCTTTAAATCAGATAAAGCATAATTAAGAAAGTTAATAATTGATAAAGGTTCCGTGTTAAGGCCTTCACGAGAGACAAGAAAGGCTGTTTTATAAGGAAATTTTAAACTGCGGTTAAACTTTTATACGCAGAAAGAAAAACTAAACTTTTAATGGAGTTTATATTTAAAAAAGAATAA